CTCTCTCTGTGTGTGTGTGTGTGTGTGTGTGTTCTGATGCCCCCACTAATAAGGGGTAGCTAAAGTATGTTCCATCACCTGCTTCATTCTAGGCAACCAGTTCTGGGTTGTGAAAGGTGAAATTAGGCTTTCTGGATATCCCAAGCGTATCCACACGTTGGGCTTCCCAAATGATGTCAAGAAAATTGATGCAGCCTTTTACAACACAAATGAAAAAAAGACATACTTCTTTTCTGGTAACAGATACTGGAGGTATGAAATAAGCTCATTGGATGCAGCCTGAAAATTACTTGCATCTGTTTTCGTTCAGAAATGCTAAATACTTCAGCTTATTTAAAAGGGTCAATTTGGTTGTATGGTTCAAGCTCCATTCATTTCAGGAGGGTTTGTAAAGGAGGATGCTCCCTGGAATTACCTGTGGGTGGTAAAGGGGATGCTCCCTGAGATTCTAGTGGGAGACACCATATACATCTATATGGCTGCTGAGGCTGGTAGCACCAATGGCAGTGGGCAGCAGGTCCCCTCCAGACTTCAGTGGAATGGTTCAAGGAACTGGCCATGGTGCTGATTCCCAACCTGTGCATAGCACCATGGATAGCTATACCCAGTATAGCTAAAGTCTGGACCAAGACCTGGAATGGATACTCTGATCTGCTGACACTGGCACCAGTGCTGATCTATGTTCTATATTTGGATCTCTTTCAAGAAGAGTGGATTCTGGATGGAATTATGTGGGGAAAATGCCAGCCATTCTCCCGCAGTAATTTGTAGCAGTGTGGCAGACTCTCGATCAGAGAACAAGCTGCCTGTATTTGTGAAGGTGCCTTGCCTGAAGCTACTGCCACCACATGGCAGTACAGAGGACTGATTAACACTGTGCATAATTCTGTGAACGGAATGATCACAAAGTTGCCTCCTATAGGATTTGCACTGCTCATATAGTATCTGTTCACCACCCCAGATGATGTTAGTTGTATGATTTTGAAGCCTGCATATTAGATATAAAGATGCCCTTAGCATCATGTGTAATTTGCCCTTCAGCCTTTGAAGATACCTGCATCTTCCTTGAAGGCAGACATGCCTGAATTTGGCAGATGGCCCTTTTCAAGGCAGCTCTGGAGTATTTATAATTCTTTATATTCTGAAGTGCAGGAAGATTTTGATAGCATCCTCATCGCATCGCATATTGATTTAAATAGCACAGAATCATTTTGTTTCTGCATTCACCAGTGCCCTCTAATGGTAGCAACTGGCATTGCTTGACTGCCTGGTAGAACAACAAGTAAATGAATTCGAGTTCTGGACAAAAATAAGTTGAACCATGCTTGGAGTCTCCAAAGAAGCAAAGCATGCAATCCCAGTTCATCAGTACCACCATCTCTTGAGGAGGTCTGAATTACTTGCATTGTTAGGAAGTTGCTGTGCCGTATCTCGGCTCATCCATAAATTCACTGAGCACTTTAGGAAAGCTAATTCCTCTCCGCTTCACTAAAAGAGTTATATTGTATGTCAAGACACCCCTGTATTTACACCCATGTAGTCTGCGAGCCATAAATGGCCCCCGTTCTTTTGTGTTTAATTTGCCATGACACAGGCCAAAAAGCAGTGGTTTGCCACTCCCCTCATGCATTCTCTGAAAGTTAGGCTGGGCCTTTTCATCTGGGGCCCTTCCGCTGGACTTTAGAGGGATGTTTTGCCCCCCATTGGCACCATGTGGGTTCAGTAACCACCCTCTGCAGATGCATTTCAAGAATGAAATATCTGGCCCCGTTTTTGACATGGTATCAGAGCAGTGTTATCATCTGGTTCCCTGAGTGCTGTTGTGAGCTTAAGGAAGAGCATCCCCTTGTCTTCTTCATCACAGGAGGGACAGTCATGGCAAGAAAGGAAGTGCATCCTTTGGGGGGCCCACCAGGTCTTTCTTACTGAAGCCAAGGGGACTGGACCATGGGAAAGTGCTCCAGTATGTGAGAACATAGGCCTAGAAGGCATACAGCTCAGGGTTCACAAGTTTCATTTCCCAAGTGGTAGCTCCTAGACAAAAGCCATTGCTGCTTCAAGCTCCAGTTGGTTTATGTGCCCATGACTCCCTTCTTTCCTCAGGTATGATGAACGAAGGCAAACCATGGAAAAGAAGCCCAGAAAGATAAGAGATGGCTTCCCAGGTATTGAGGGGAAAATTGATGCTGCCTTCCAGCATAATGGTAAGTAGCATTTTTTTGTAAAGATACATGGAGGAATTGCAGCCTGTGGAAGCAGGATTTTGAATCAGAGCAATTATTCTGATACTGGTCTGGTTCCTAATAGCCAATGGTTCCTTGTTCCACTTGATTCATTTGTGAAAGGGGAATGATGCCTCATCAAGGGGTTGTTGTTGTTTAGTTGCAAAGTCGTGCCTGACCCATCATGACCCCATGGACAACATTCCTCCAGGTTCTCCTGTCCTCCAACATCCCTCAGAGTCCACCCAAGCCCACACCCACTGCCCCAGTGACTCCATCCAGCCACCTCATCCTCTGCCAGCCCCTTCTCCTTTTTCCAACGATGGTTCCCAACGTCCCATCAAGGGGTATAGAACACTAATTAAGTAAGGTACTGTATAAAATTAAAAGACGCTTTCTCCTGGGGAGGAACGCTATGGCGAATCTAGACAGCATACTAAAAAGCAGAGACATCACCCTGCTGACAAAAGTGCGTATAGTCAAGCCTATGGTTTTCCCAGTCACAATGTATGGCTGTGAAAGTTGGACCATAAGGAAGGCTGAGCACCAAAGGACTGAGGCCTTTGAATTGTGGTGCTGGAAGAGACTCCTGTGAGTCCCTTGGACTGCAAGGCGATCAAACCGGTCAGTCCTAGAGGAGATCAACCCTGACTGCTCTTTAGAAGGCCAGATCCTGAAGATGAAACTCAAATACTTTGGCCACCTAATGAGAAGGAAGGACTCCCTGGAGAAGACCCTGATGCTGGGAACAATAGATGGCAAAAGAAGAAGGGGACGACAGAGGATGAGGTGGCTACATGGAGTCACTGAAGCAGTCGGTGTGAGCTTAAGTGGACTCCGGGGGATGGTGGAGGACAGGAAGGCCTGGAAGAATGTTGTCCATGGAGTTGCACTAGGTCGGACACGACTTCACAACTAGCAACAACAACAAAGCAACAACTGTTTCTACATTTTGGAATGCTGTTTCTCTAACTGGGTTGCTTACTAACCCATGGCTGCCGGGAGGATCTTGTTAGGACCCATGGAAGCAAAGGCTCGCATACCCTGCTAGCAGTCTTTTTCATTTGGTGCATGTCATACCTACCGCATCCACAGCCTTCCTGCACCAAAGGCAAAGGGTTTGAGGGGAACTTCAGACTGCAGGGATGTTGGAGCAGGGCCAGCATGCAAGCCTCTGTGCCTCTTTCACAAGGTGGTATTCAGGCATAGCACCCAGACAAGAAGGGATTCTCTGTATCCAGATTCAGAATGACCAGTCTTGGTCTCCCTGTCCCTTCCCCTCATTCTGAGGTGTCTTTTTCCCAAACTTGGAGAGCAATTTTGGAACATTAAAAAACCTTTAATAAACGCTCACCAGGTATTCCAGGCAAAACTGAAAGTTAGACCTGCCAGTGTTAATTAAGACTGCTGAGCTCATAACAATATATAATACTGACTTCCAAGGCTGGATTATCAAAACAAACATATCCAGTTTTAATACTTATTTAAATCATAGTTTGAAGTTTGTACTGCATATTCCTTCCCAGTCTACAGATATTATTTCCATCTCTTGACCAAAGATGAACAGACAGAAACTTTAGGCTGGCATGATACAAATCTGTGAATGGAAACATGACCCAGAAGTCTGCAGAAGGCTTTCACTGATGCAATTCAGTGCTGGGTGGCAGCAGCAGCTACTGTTCCCATAACAGCTGCCAATAGCCAATATTATATCCCCTTCCATTCCACCAACTATCTTTCTCCTTGCAAGCCAGAAGAATTCGGAAGAAATATGCCCATGGCCTGCATGGCCAACACCCTAGCCACCACTTTTTGCTCTATTAAAGCTTCCAAATGGTTTTGGAAGTGCACCCACACTGTCCTTTTGATGTCTTTCCTTTTGCACTTGTTGAAATTTGCACATCAGGATCATCTGACTTCATTTTGGTTTTGTCTATTTCTCCTTTGTAGGCTTACTGTATTTCTTCAGAGGAACAAAGCAATATGAGTTTGACCCCAACACCAGGAGAATTAATCAGATTCTAAACACCAATAGCTGGTTTTCGTGCTAAGAAAAATAAAACACTGAAGATGTAGAAGACACTGTCGGAAAATACTCAGGACATAAATAATCACATTATTCTGATTGTGTAATGCTAAGCACTGACCCTTTATAAATAGCCCTTTTATTGACCCTCTATGGACAGTGATGTCCAACAGTGATTTTTTAACATAGTGCATGCATATGACAATGCATCCTTTAAACGCAATTAAATAATGCATGCATATGACAAGCAGCAATCCTGCATGCATGCACCAGGGATTAGCGCCACTGTTCTCAGTGGGACTGGCTTCTGAGAAGGTGTACCTGGGAAGAGACGGGAGCTACGCAAGTCACTGAATAAGCAAGCCAGGAGACTGGCCTTTCCATCCACCCACTAGAAACTTCAGGGGCTTCATTTACGAGGCCAGTCTTGCCACTAAGCAGCCTGAGGCAGGCACCTCAGGCAGCAGATGCTGAGGGAAGCAGACCCAGCTGTGTGTGCTCATGGCCTGCTGTGTAACCCCAAAGCCACCCAGATGCCCTAAGGCAGGGTGTCGTATTCTGTCTTGCCATTGCAATTGAAGTAAGATTAGCCTGCCAATCTAACCACCCCCTGTACATGGACTAGGAGGAGGCCTCATCTTCTTCTTGGTCTCGGACCACACAAAGGCTGGAGCCAGCCCTGAACTCTGGTCACATGTGTGGGATCTCCACTAGGCATAGCTTATAAGATTACAGGCTGGTTTTGCCATCCATGTGAACAGCTGCCTGATATGACTTGTAACTGTCATATGATAGGCTTTTAATGAGATCATAAGATGGTGTGTGTGAGTGTGAGAAAGAGGGAGAGAGAATGCATGGATATTTGTTCTGTTGAAATGTTTGCAGCTAAACTGTTTTTTATGTTAAGTATAATATTGTGCTTTTAGAAATTTGGAACCTTGATAAACCACCCAGAGAAATTTGACTATTGGGCAGTATAGAAATGCAATCCATGCCAGGGAATATTTTCCATTGTTGAACCAAACTCAGCAAGCTTTTGAGAGGAATGAAAACATTCCTCTGTCACTGTGAGAAAGGGGGACAGTGCAGAAAAAGAGGTTCCTGCTTTGCTAGCATGCTTTGCTTGACAAAAATGTTGAATGAACTTCTCTGAGTTTACTGTCAATGGAATTCCACCAGTGCTGAGTATAGTTTCTAGGACTTGGGCGTGAATGTTCAGTCTGTGACCGTGTATAAACCTCAGTCGATACCAGCAGCTCCAGTGCCAGTGGAACAGTGTTGGAGACAGCAATGTCAATGTCACCATAGCCCCAAAGCAGGCTCAGCACCACAGATAGCTCCATAAAGAGTCAGTCTTTCACCTGGAGTGGATACACTGCCCCAGTGTCATTGGAGCTAGCAGCTTGCACTGATGCAACATTAATTATATGCTCATCATCTTTACTTTCTATGTTGACCACTATATAATTTATTATATACTCATATGTAACAGTCTATCAACAGCAGGCTTGGATTTAATACAGGTGTTTTGTTTGTATGCATATATTGTTCATTCTTAAGCTTGATAATTAATGAATAAAGTAAATTGTGCTTTAAAATGGCTTTTTTTTTTTTTTTTGCATTTTATCTCTGATGAGTGGTGTCTTAAAGTGTCTTGAGCCTAAGAGCTAGACAGCAATAAAAAAAGATGCTGTTGCCACTGCTTTCCTTGCCACTATTTATGACATGAATAGGAAGACTGAAAGTGGACATCTTAACGTTCTTTCAGATTCCAGAAGGGCTGTAATATAGAAAAGGAAAAACTCATTTTCTGTTAACCTGGAAACCAGGTTAGTTCTAATAGGACTTTAATTTCAAGATGGTAGATATCAGTTGGACATTAAGAAAAATATATTGAAGGTTGGTGTTGCTAGTTGTGAAGTCACATCCGACCCATCGTGACCCTATGGACAACATTCCTCCAGGCCTTCCTGTCCTCCACCATCCCTCAGAATCCACTTAAGCTCACACCAACAGCTTCAGTGACTCCATCCAGCCACCTCATTCTCTGCCGTCCCCTTCTTCTTTTGCCATCTATTGTTCCTAGCATTAGGCTCTTCTCCAGGGAGTCCTTCCTTCTCATTCGGTGGCCAAAGTATTTGAGTTTCATCTTCAGTATCTGGCCTTCTAAAGAGCAGACAGGGTTGATCTCCTCTAGGACTGACTGGTTTGATCGTCTTGCAGTCCAAGGGACTTGCAGGAGTCTCCTCCAGAGCCACAGTTCAAAGGCCTCAATTCTTTGGTGCTCAGCCTTCCTTATGGTCCAACTTTCACAGCCATACATTGCAACTGGGAAAGCCATAGCCTTGACTATATGCACTTTTGTCAGCAGGGTGATGTCTCTGCTTTTTAGTATGCTGTCCAGATTTGCCATAGCTTTCCTCCAAAGAGCAAGCATGTATTAATTTCTTGGCTGCAGTCTGATGGTACAGGCAGTCAAAGAAAACCAAGAATTCCCTTTCATTGAAAGTCTTCAATTTGTTGAAAGTCTTCCAACAGATGCAGAAGTATAACATATTTATGTTATACTTTTATGTATAGGTATTTTATTTGTGTAAGCCGCCCTGAAGCTCTCACAAAGGATGTCATACAAATATCTTCAATAAATAAATAATAAATAAATGCTAGATGTCCACCTGTTGAGGATGATGTAGCTCTGGATTTCTTGCATGGAGCAGGGGTTGAAATAGTTCATTTACAAGACCCTGTCCAATGCTTCAATTCTACCATCAGTAACCATATGTCACTGGGTCAGATGCACTGAGGGAGGAAACCTTCCCTGGTAACATTTAGAAGACCCCTTATGCAAATGAGAGTGAGATGGCCATAATGAAAGAGCAACATATTTAAGCATTACACTTTAAGTCCACCTTTCTTTCACCATGAAATAAGGATGTCGTATATTGGATTCCCAAGTAGTCTCTCATCTAGGTCATGACCAGCGCCAGACTTGCTTAGCTTGATCACAGTGGCCTTATGATGTGATTTCAGACCATGCCCTGTGACCAAAACCTACTTTCCATATGCAGATACAAGTACAAGCCTGCTGCAACTAGTTTTCACAGCCAATACGTATAGTAGTAGCATCAGTGCTATTAGCAGTGGTACAAACGCATGGTGCTTTGCCAAGTTTGATAGTAAAAGATGTTAGAGAACTTGGACAATGGGAGGCAACAAAAGTGGGGATTGAATATATGTATCAATAAATTATAAATGATCATATTCTTTATAAATAAAGATAGTCTGAAATCTTTTCTCATCTCTGGGGTGATCATTGTTGCATAGATTCATGACCCAGATCAAATGAATTGGCGCTTTAGCTCTTGTATCACTGGATCCTCTCGTGATGTTGACTTGTCCAAAAACATTTAAAAAGGAGAGGGATTTGGGGAGATTATTTTTCAGACACATAGATTTTGAAATCAGTAAAAGCTGCCAAGTTGTGGGATGTCTTTCATAAGCTTTTATCCATTCTTAACTGCATCAAATAGAAACAGCATTTTCTATCATCGTAAACAGATGTATCCAAATGCAGTGAACTTGGATAAACAGCTACAGATGTTCCACTCTTATTTTCATCTGACAAGTTTAGGTGCTGATGAATTGGCCATTTCCACACCAGAAGAGATTCAGTTAAGAATTCTCCTGTGCTAGCAATGTACAGCACTAATATATCATCAGAGCCATTCTTGCAACATGGAACATCTTATTCATCAGCTGTGTTTATGCGGACTATGAAGTGTATGTGTTGGAGATGGCTCTGTTGACATTAACTTCAGATGCCATGAAAATGTATATTTGAAAATGACCTCAATAGCTGTGCTCATGTGTTTATCTCTTAATGAGCAGTAACCTCATTCTTTAAATTAAACTTAAGGTATGGCTTCATCTAATATGAGGCAAATACATCTCTGGGTTTTTTTGGTAAGTTAGGTAAGAAGTCCAATGTGGAAAGAGAGAGAGTAACTACCAGTCCGGGGTGACATTTGATCAGCCCATCTACTTTTTAAGTACATATGAAGAGGCCTGCTAGGTCAGACCAGTGGTCCATCTAGTCCAGCACTCCAGTCACACAGAGGCAACCCAGCTGCTCACAGGATCCTTCATGCAGGATGGTAACAGATTTCATAGAATCATAGAAACAAAAGGAGTCAGAAGGAGTTTCCTGGGCCCTCTAGTCTGGCCCCTGGCTTCAGCTGGTTCCACTCATGTAATCCCCAACATGTGGTTGTCCAATCTTTCCTTGGACAGCCTCACTGATTTCTACCTGCCCAAGCTCTTCAGCAGCTGATATATGCAGACATGCTGCCTCTGATAACAAAAGCAGAACCTAGCCTGCATGGCTAGCAGCCAGTGGTAGCCACCTCCTCCATGAATTTGCCCAACTCCTTCTTAAAACCACCCAGATGGGTGACCATCACTGCTTCCTCTGGCAGTGAATTCCATAACTGAATTCCATATGTATTGTGTGAAGAAGGTCTTCCTTTTGTCTGATCTGAATCTCCCACCAATCAGCTTCATGAGATGAACCATTTGGTTCAAGTATAATGGGAGAAGGAGAATAATGCCTCCCTGGCCACTTTCCCTACACCAATTATAATTTTAAACACTTCTATCTCTTCTCCCCTTACTAACCCTTTTTTCTAAGCTAAACAATCCCAGTTGTTGTGACCATTCCTGAGAGGGGAGTTGCACCAACTCCTTGATCACTTTAGTTGCCTTTAACTTCACTTTTTCCAATGCAATAACACTCTTTTTCAGGTGTGGCAACCAGAACTGTACAATCTTCCAAATGCAGTTGCATCAAAGTTTTGCGTAAGGGGATTACAAACTTGGCTGTTTTATTTTCAATTCCTTTCCTAATTATGCTTAACATGAAGTTTGCCATTTTCATGGCAATTAAGCATTGCACCAAAATTTTCATTTAGCTGTCCCATACAGCCCCAAGGTCCCTTTCTTGATCAGTCACTGCTAGCTCCCATCCCA